TTAGGAAGAGGCTATACCTGCTCCTTAGCACTTATTCCAACAATATCCATAGCTCTCCTTGTGGCAAGATAATCATGGGCATCACTTACACCAACCAGTTCATAGCAACGTGACTGGTTAAGATAGTGAAATGATTTAGGATTTGCCAACTTGTACTTCTCAATTTCCTGTCAACATTAACAAATATTAGCCCGAAGTTGTATGAAAAGAAATCTGCATTCCAACAAGATCTTACCTCCTGTGGTGCAGCACAAAGAAGGTAGAAGCAGTGGTAGTTCCGTTCAGGATCAGAAATTTGGCAAACACGAGACCGTTCCAGAAGGTAAGTTCTAATGGCGGCTCCTGATATTCTTCCTTGCTTATCAAATTGGATTTCAACAAATTTACCAAAACGACTGCACAATTTAAAGAGAGCACCACTGTAAATTTATCAGAAGATACTTGAGGCAAAGTAATTCATGGCAGCAAATGATTGCTGATATAGTCTTCATCATCATATTGACTCAGCAGTATACTAGTGAATAAGGAAAATTCAGGAGATAAAATGTCAAGCCAAAGACAGAGAGAATCAACATCCTACTTCATTGCCCAAATGCAAGAGTATCTTACCTAGAATTGTTATTTCTAACAGTTTTAGCATTGCCAAATGCTTCCAGAACTGGATTTGACTGCACTCAGAAAAGAAAGAAGCGTCATAAGAATTGTATAAGAAACTACTCGAGTTTGATATATAGAAGATAATATCGAGTAATTGAAGCTTAATATAAATGCTAATCAAAGGTAGTATATCAATCTTACTTCAAGAACTTGCTGTTCAACTGTACGTCCTTCGGTTGCAGCCCGGCCACCCAGAAATGCAAGGTACCGCATTAGCATTTTTGTGGTCTCAGTTTTACCTGCCCCACTTTCACCACTGACCAGAATTGAATTGCTTTTTCCTTCATTAATCATTGCCCTGGTTTGTTCAAAGAATCAATTGTAAATATTTGGTTTATTGATAAATTGAGCAATGGCATGTAAATGAAGGTAACCTGTATGCAACATCTGCAACTGCAAAAACATGAGGGCTTAGTTCTCCAAATGGTGCTCCCTTGTATTGTTGCATCATGTGACCATCATAGAGATGGGGCAGTCTTTGGAATGGGTTAATGGCAATAAGGATATTTCCAGTATAAGTCTATCATGATAGAAATGAAGGCATATGTTATTGCAGATACCATGGTTATACAGAGTAAGGATTCCTATTTTGAATAAAAACTTAGTAAGTTTTTCAAAATGAAGGGCAGGAAACTTACATAGATTTCATTAAGTTCGTATCTAATTTTTAAATTCTGCAGAACTCCAGGCTCATGCAGATAAGATAGCTTTGTCATGTCATCGACTCCGCCAGCAGGAGCTTCCATATCTTTTGGATATATTTTCGATAATTTGGCAACAATCTTAATAGCACCAAAATAGAAATCTCATTAGAGCCCAATACTAGAAGCAATGGTGAATTCCAAAGAACAAACATAAAAGTTATTTCTGATGATTTAGTTGATTTGCAGTCAAGTGATGAAAAAGATAAAAACAAACACATCACGTTTAGTAACAGGAAATGCACCTTCTTCCCATTGGTATTCTCGATCTCAGCTTCCTGTCCATTAATCTTTGACACTTGTCCATCAATCCAAGCCAATTCCGGGTCTTCAACCCAGACATTAGATCCTACAATGATATTTACTGGCGTTCCCTGTAGTTGAAGATACAAAGGAATGAAATTATACATAAATTTTTATTTAAAATGTCATCATAAACACAAACTTCACCGATAACCATTTCTGAAGACTACTTCTGACTCATTTTGTATGAAAACTGGAAAAAGAATAAGGGGGCAAATTATTCCAACAAAATATGTGCCAACACCTTTTGTCCTATTGCTGTTGCATATCTACTACTAAGTCTATGTTAGGTATGCCCACCACTAATTATTTCACCATCACCAAAAGTACAGTGTGATGCTAAGCACACTCGTCTCTCTTGCTCAATGCTTAGTTCGAGTTGTCATATGCCTTGTGTTTTACCTAGGAACAGAAAAGCTAGTAGTTCCTTCTACAGCTAAATTGTTTACGAAATTTATGTTTTAAAGGAATAGCTAGTTCAGAAAACCACACAGACACACGCACACCCCTCCATTCTTATTACACCCTTGGCAAAGAAATTTTCGGTTACTACATCTCTGAGATGAGAAGCAAAGAATCCCAATCTGGTAATCACAAGCTAACACTGGGCTATTGTAAAGGATAACATACACTAAACAACCGTTCCATTTTGCATCACAGACACTAACTTAACATATGTTCGATCAAAAAAAGAAAACTTAATAATTTGTTATTAACAAACTCAACAACCATTTGATCCCTGGAACTAGTTTTTGAACGCGACATACATTTTTTTAACTGAATTTCGGAAACCTAGTTTAATCTACAAATTAAAGGAAGACAAAACCATGGATATACGGAAATCAACAAATGTCAATTTATGAAATTCAACAAAAGACCGCACGTACCATTTTTCTTTTCTAGGCTGCCAATCCAAAGCTCATCAAGTACTTTTATTCAAAAGTTGAGATGCATGACAAATCAGCTCCCAACTCCAGCTGAGAAGTGTTCCTTTCCACCAGACACCATAAGAGAAAGAGACCCTTTTGAGCAAAACCATCAAACTTTTGAGAATGAACAAGAGACGAGGTTAATGGGGTCAGACATATTGGGTCAATGTGCGAGAAAACTCCATTTTCCGGGAAAGTTGGCAAGAAAGTGAAGGAAAAAATGGGAAGGGGTAGAAAGAGAAACAGAGATTGGTTGATTGGTGAGGTGGGAAAGTTTTGATTGTGTGATTGTGTGTGGGAAGTGAATGTGGATCGAGTCGGTTGTGGGAGTGACATTCTTCACAAGGGCCTCTTGTTTCGGTTGCTTTCCTTTGTTTGCGCGCCAATTAGTGGCTACTAACCAAGTCTTCTCTCTCTTTCTTTAACGGTACATCTCCTTGTGTCATAGTGCTCTCTCGGTCTGGAGATGTTCCAATCTTGTGTATCTGAATGTATTGTAAGCATTTGATACTTGTCATGTACACCGTTGGATTGGGATCAAAGTCTTCGAATTTTAACGGACTGGATTTTCTTTCTTTTCCTCTATGTGTTTGTATTTCAATGTGATGTCGACCTCCGTCCTGCTTTTTTTCTTTTAAACATAACTGAAAGTTTTGTCTTTCAGAAACATGCTTTAAAATAATCAATATGATGGCAGACGCATTTACAAAGATTTGGTTTTTATTCTTGTATATGATTCCTTCCACTGTTAAACAGTTTTGGGGAGCTGAAGATCCAAGCTCCAAACTAACCAGTGGTTCCCTGCCCTGCCCAAATGTTCTACTTGTAAACAGAGCCTTTCTAATGTTCTACTTTACATGTTACAACCATTTACAATTACCAGTGCTGTTTTCCACCGTACCAGAAAATGCGCATCAATCAAAAGTCAGAAAAGGATCTTTAAACAGAAGAAAAAGGAAAAAGAGGGAAAAGAATACTGAAGTCGCCATAAAAAGGTAAAAGAAAATTTTATGCACATACATATATATATATCACAGCAAAGAGAACTTCATCTCAATATTCTAAGGAAACTGTCATATGTTCATTACATAAAACAACTAAATGCAACACAGGTCACTTGCAGGGATCGTATGAAATAGATGTCTACAACTTTCTCCTCCGTAAGTCTTTAGGGGCATAAACAGGAGTGCGGCCAAGAAGGTCTAAAGTAAGGCATTACTTGACTGTCATCCCATTGAATAGAAGAGTCACGACCAAGATATGGAATCAGTGTAAGCCTTCGGCTTTTGAGGTGAAAGAGAAATATGTTCCATCCAGCTCTTATGAAGACATATTCAGAATTCTGGGGAAGGAATGACAATATTTGAGCTTCTTTAGAATTCTTTGCACAGTCTGGATTTTGCTTCCACATTGCTTTGAAACTTAGTTTGTACCTTAAATTCCACCTGTTCTGTGATTGCAAGTTTGATGAGAAACTATTTCCTTCCCTCGCAAGAACCCATATCTCCATGCCTGACGTGCTGCTCTGACCATACTGCAAAAGCCCATCTGGGGCCTCCCCAAGAACACACTCATCATAATCTTGAGAAATCTTACCATCTGGTAATTTAAGCAAAACTATACGCCTATCTCCAAGACGCGGATCATAAATGGCTAGATTTCCCTGGGTTGCAAACCAGTATATGACACCACTAATTACAGTAGCCACTGCCCAAGGACGCAAGGCAAATGTTGAAGAGCAAGTGAGCGTATAATGTTTCCATGTACCAGTCACTGAAGAGAAAGTCTCAATGGAGACAGTATTAACTTCATCACGTCTGCAGTCACATCTTGCCCGAATAACCTTGTAGTGGATGATGTCATCAAAACACTCCTCGGTGACACTGAAGAATGCAATACACAAACTTTTATAGTACTGCTGAGGTTGAGGAAGTCGGCATAGCTGTTTGGTGATTGGGTTCCACACAGAATATGTCATTGGGTGGCGGCCGAAAAGAAGAAGGCCATTGGAAGAGTCAATGAAATAGCCAAGCTGTTTGGGGATCCCAGAAACCAGTAAATTATCGCCTTCCTCACAAGTTGACAATAAATGAAGTGCACGTTCTGATGGGGGCCGGCGTATGCCATGTTTAGATCTTCCAAGGTATAGATGATTGCACACAAAGAAGCCCAAAAGATGAAAATTTATTCTCCATCGAGCATGGTAATCCTTTCGAAAAGAAGAGCTACATATCACACGAAGCCACCTCTTTGATACGAGTATGAAACTGAAAACAGATTTCTCTGGCAGTCGAAGGAGGATCTCGTGTAGGATGTCATCAGTCAATGCAGCATGAATATCATTTGCAGACCTCTTTTGACCCTTCATCTGGACACATAAAATTGTGCGGAGAGCATGCTCCACTGTATGAGTACAGTCCTAATAATGTGTAGCAGATCATATCCAATGTTAAAGCATCTCAATTGACATAAAAAGACACAAATCTATAAGTCACCAGTTGTCCATGATTTAAAACACTACTACTACTGATAAATTAAAATATTTTCTTATATCAACATAACCTAGTAATGATATCCATCAGCGACGACAGACGTTTATTTGATATATATTGCTCAGCAATCTTTTATCATAATCTGGTAAGCAACATATCGCTAGAACTGTTTTCAACTGCAGATTTTTTTTCAAACTATAACCAAATATGCAACTAAAATTAAAATAATTGTTAGATAATAAGCTTTGGCTCGCGAATTCGGGAAAGAAGAGGGATTGAGGGCAAAAGACCAAGATTGAACCTATATGAACCCTGCAACCAATTTGCTGAATTGTGGAATTGCCCTTCACCAGTTCTAAAGAAACAAACCCAAGCTCCAAACTTCTAAGTCTCTAACACTCGAACAGCTTATGATCACAAAAACCCTGAATTTGTCTATAATCTGGTTACTCATTTACATTGTACTAAATCCATCGAGGAAAAAGACCAAAATTTTCCTCAGCAAAGCGCAACAAAAATTGCTTTTGACACCTTAAAGTTTTCATCTTGCAAGTTGTCCGATACTGATACAACAGAGAACATAAGACCCAGAACGTAATCACCTTCACTTCCTACTCTAAGCAATCAAATGGAAACGAAAGACGGTAACTACATTAGCCCATCTACCATTTTTGCCCCATTCATCAATTTTATCAAAAGAAAGAGAATCAAATAAACAAAAGCATGCATAAAAGAAAGAATGTGTAGCTTAAAAGAGCGTACCTGAGAGAATGTGTAGCTTAAAAGCAAGTGAATGGGTGCTTGCCCTTCAGCTTGAGCGTCTAAGGTTTGGGAAACTGGGAAGTGATGAATTTAAGGTGGCCAAGTTGGTTTTTGACTGGATTGTGACCTCACTGGGATTTTATTGGGCTTTTCGGGGACCAGCTTATTGTTTCTTTTGTCTTCGGGCCAGCTTTGTTGGGTTTTGGCGTGGCGGGTCAACTGTATAGCGGGTCAAGTTTACATGTCTACCGGCCTTCAATGACGTAACAGGAAAATTAAATAAAGAGAAGGGGAAGAAGAAGAGTGAGATATAGGCTGCTAATCTCTGGGAGGGAAAGAAAACTATCGAGATGACAAGCCTCGTTGTGCCATTAACAGATTTGGGTCTCTAATTCCATATAAGCTCAAGGCAAGATTTGCTTGCTCCCTCATTTTTACCCACCCAGATTTTCTTTTCTTTTTAACAAGTTGTACCCCAAGTTCATAAGAATTCAAGCATCCGCTGCAAGATGTGCAATTTATTCAAATCCATAGTGGTGGCGGCGGCGTTTTTGCTTCTGGGTCCGTGCACTGTCACCAAATGCATGGCGTTTGGTTCTCCTTCTTCTTCTGAGACCACTATGCACACTAACAATTGGGCTGTTCTGGTCTGCACCTCTCGATTCTGGTAATTCAAACTTTGTTTTGCTCTTTTCAACTTGTCTTTTTTTCTATTTCTGTGAGAAATAGATATCGCCCATGTTATAATTTTTGGTTATGAACGATAGCCTTCTAAAAGTTTCTTTACTTTATCTCTTACTAATTTAATTTTTTGATAAAAATTCGGGTGTGTTTGATATGATTATTAGTTTGCTTACTTTGTGGATCGTATCCATCCATGAGCACTTTCTAGTTTATTTGCTCAGTTTTTTTACCATCCTCGGCAACAATGCAAAAGAGAAGTTGGAATTATGTACTCTATGAACCATAACCATTTTTCTAGATGTGGATGCATGAATGTACACTAATTCATCTTCGGCTTTGGTATAGGTTTAAACTTGTGAAATGGCCATCTACTTGTTTCAGCATTTCATATTTTCAATTCTGGGGGAGTTGAATAGAGCTGTCTCTATCACATATTCAGTCTTCTTTTAGAGAGAAACTACAGTTCTTTCACCTTGTCTTGGCTCTCTTGCATTCAGTACTTTAATTTAAACATTATTGAAGCATTAAGGGACACTAAGTAAACGGAAGTCTTCCTATTTTCATCTTAAGGGTTCATCGAAAGAATCAATATATGTCACTGAATTCTTGTAATCATTGTAATGAGCTAGTTTGAAGAATCTTGAGCTACCTATTTCAATCTCTCATAGTTCTACAATATCGCAGTTTGATTTACCTATCCCAATGTTGTCTTCAGGTTTAATTATCGACACATGGCCAATACTTTATCCCTATATCGGTAAGAACACAGGTCTTTTCCTCCTAGAGCATCTTCTTGTCTGTCATTCTTTCTTTTCTTTCATAGTTACTTCAGTGTGTTTTTCTTTTGATTTACAGGACTGTTAAGCGACTTGGAATACCTGATGAGAGAATAATACTTATGCTGGCAGATGACATGGCCTGTAATGCTAGAAACAAGTATCCTGCCCAAGTTTTTAACAATGAAAACCACAGACTCAACTTGTATGGAGATAATGTTGAGGTGAGCTTTCTTCTATCTGTTTAGGTCTTTTACTTTGCTTCAAATAGTTTTCCAAAGATGGCTGATTTACCAAACTGAATCTATCAGGTGGATTATCGAGGCTATGAAGTGACAGTTGAAAATTTTTTACGTGTATTGACTGGGCGTCATGAGAATGCTGTTCCAAGATCTAAGCGTCTTTTGAGTGATGAAGGAAGCCACATTCTTTTGTATATGACAGGACATGGAGGAGATGAATTTTTAAAATTTCAAGATTCGGAAGAGCTCCAGAGTCATGATTTAGCTGATGCAGTAAAACAAATGAAAGAAAAGCATAGGTTAGGAATTTTTACCTCTACCACTGTTGCCTTTTACATTTGTATAAGAATTTCTTACATTTTAATATTAGAAATAGGGAGAAAATGATTATCAGATGAATACAATAATTTACATTTCTTATGAAATTATCAATTATCAATTATCAATTTAGTTTGGGACAATTTTTTATATTTTACATTTTGTTATATCCATGTTGATGACTGTTCCTATTGATCGTCACTGCTGGACAAATGGACTCATATGAAGTTGATAACATGATCAAAATTTTAGATTCAAGGAGCTGCTGATAATGGTGGACACTTGCCAAGCTGCCACTCTCTTCTCTCAGGTTTGTGATTTGCTCCTTCCTGTTCTTAGAAAAGAAAAGCATAATATATTTTAGCTATATCCTGTTTCGTTCAATTTTTCAGACTGAAATTGTAATGTTTAAAAAGAATGTACAAAAAAACTTAAACTCAAAACATACCATCCTGGTTTACACTTTTGCAGATAGGATAGCTTGAATGGAATGGAAACATTTGTTTGACTTCATTGCACAGAGACAAATTCCTTTATGATTGTGTATAATAGTTTCATAATCTGAAAAGAGAGTATCCTTGATGAAATTGTTCTATTCACATGCTTTTATACTAAATGAAAGATCATATTTTGAGTTTTGCAGCTTCAATCACCCGGAGTTTTGGCTATTGGAAGTAGCATGAAAGGGGAGAACTCATACTCACATCACTTGGACTCTGATGTATGGTGGATTTGTTGGTAGAAAATGTTTTTAACATTTAAACTGATTTGACCGAGAATGCTATTCCATGTTCTTGAGTAATCTCAAATCCAGGTATTTGATACCACTTACTGGCATTTCATCTAATTATAGTTACACTGTTTACTTGATACAGGTTGGTGTTTCTGTTGTAGATCGTTTTACATTTTACACCCTTGCGTTCTTTGAGAGGCTAAATATGTATGACAATGCCTCATTGAGCAGGTATATTTAAGAAATTGCATACCTATTTCATTGTGGCAATTATTGCTTTCAAAGTGTACAGAACCATTACAGTGTAAGTGATTTTTCTTCAAAATTAATATTTATTGTGGGATTTGATTACCATTTTGCAGTCTTTTCAATTCCTATAACCCAACCTTGTTGATGTCAACCGCATATTATAGAACAGATCTATACCAGCAACACCTGGAAGAGGTAGGGAAGTTTTAAACTTAATCTTCTCAATTTGGAGCTATCGAAGTTGCTTGCTTTACTTTGATGCTGGGAAATATTCTCTCTCAGGTGCCCGTGACGAACTTCTTTGGTTCAGTCATGGAAACTATACATACTGATTCAGCTTATGAACCCCTTTCAATAAAAAGTTTCAGCAGAGCTGAAATCAAGATGCCCCTTGATCAACCAGCCAATGACAATGAAAGAAGAATTTTGGCAGATTCAAATGGTCAAGATCAAATCAGTAACCCCAAAAAAGAGGTGACTTTTTATATCCCTTCCCTTCTGGTCGTTCAAAAAGCTTTGTTTCTTTACAACATTGTCGTGATGGGAAGGAATGAATGCTGCAGGAACAACAGGGAGCTTTCAGACATTTGTGGAATACTATTAATGACAAGGTGGAAAAAATTGAAGATGTCGATTCCTTTGTGCAGTACGGTTTGTTAGTAATGCTTCCAGTGTTGCTACTTCCCACGTTGTTATCATGGTGAAAGCTTTGGTGCATTTCATGCAATTCCTTTCCCCACGTCGTGTTCATTATTTTGCTCCTCCACAAATCAAGTGTTTGCGTACGCGTGTGGGGACAGAGAAAGATTGAGAGATGTTGATTTAAAGTCTTCCCTGTCTTTTCACCAAAAAAAAAAGTCTTCCCTGTAATTGATTGTTGGGATTGCAATATATGTTACAGAAAAGAAAAGTTTAAGCTTTCCATGGACAGGTGATATGGGCCCACTGTCATGCACTATGAATATGATTTGATCTAAGAGCTGAATTTGCTAATTGGATTGAACACTTCTTCGACCATCGAATGAAAGATGGGAGAAAGTGGATCTCTTTTCATATTATACACTGGGGCCAAATGAACACCTCCAAACATTCTACAATGAGGGCTAGGTGAGGTCATATTTCTTAATCGTTGAATTATGCTAACCAATTTGATTCAATGATTAATACCTAAAGGCTATATGGCCCTCGCTCGTAAAATTGTCTAATTCTAAATGGTGAGAACTTGGGTGTGCATACATGCATCAAAATGTCCATTTTCTAACCAACAAAATACTATAAAATTTGAATGAGACAGTGAAAATAACATTGGGTTTTTTGCAAGGAAAATAATTTTCCCACTCCCCTTTTATCCACCTACACTCCTTTTTGTTTAGAAAAATGAAGTGAGAAAATCAGTACCCTTTTGCAATGCCTTCTAATGATACAAACTTTAAACTCCAATATCAATATTTCAAAAAAAAAACCAAAAGACCTCCAATATCATTTGAAATGGAGGCCCATGTGGTCGAAACATGACGAAAACAATGGTTTGGATTGGACTGGTAGCAGAGGTAGGCCCATGTCAATACCATACTACAAGAGCTGCCATTTACAGCTAGACCAAATCGAAAGCAATAAAAAAAGAAATCCCCCACCACGGCAGATCAAAGAAAATAGAAGACGAAGATCATGATGCACTACAAAGAGGTATGATCCATTTTTACTTCTTTCATTTTTTATTTTTGGGTCTTTCATGAAAAAGGTTTAATCACTGTCTGGTGAATGTATGTTCAGGAAAAAGAGGCAAAGAAAGAAGCTTTTAGGAAGTACTTAGAATCCAGTGGAGTTCTTGATGCCCTCACCAAAGGTTTGTTGCTCTCTCCTTCTGACTTCTATCAAGTTTTCCGTTTCTTAATGTAAAGCTTAAGTCTTTTCCTTTTTTGTTTTTGTGGGTTGGGTATTTTTTATGTAAATTATTTTATGTACATTTTCATTTATTCTCTTTATTTTTGTAATTTTCTCTGGGACAGTTCTGGTTGCGTTATATGAGCAGAATGACAAACCTTCCTCTGCGCTTGAGTGAGTTCATCTCCTTGACTCTGTGATCCAAATGCTCTATTTGAACCAAGAATCAAGCTTTAAATGATTTGCTAGCTCAACTAATAGCAACAGCTTAACTGCCAGTTTTTTCAGTTTTTATTAATTAGGCTGAATTCATATTTACCCAAGAATTCAAATGTTATTATTAGTTATTCATTCTTCCACATCACTTTATCAAAAGTTAGATTTTAGCTTTTACCGAGATTTGCATTCTCTTTTTAAGTATCTCATTGTCATTGCGCATTGCACATTGTTGCCCAATCTTTAACCTTTAGGATATTTGTAATACAAGCATACTAGCAGAAATTGTGAGGCTTTGAACATAATCTGCTTGTTATGTATTAAGTAGTCGATATTTACGGGGGTTTGTCAGAATGCTATTTCAGTTGTGTACCATTTCTTCTTGGAAATGGTACTTAAGTTGTAATTGCAATATTCCGTCTTTTACTGTTGCAAGTGTTGAGTAGTTGTGCTTAGTGGTGTTCTTCTGTTTGTTCTGGTTTTGTGCTAACAAATGTATTTTGTTTCATGTATCGCATCCAAATAGAATTATCTTGTGAGATAATTTTTTCCGTGCTTATGCCGGTGTGCAAATGTTCAGATATATTTTGATTTTTGATTTATAATTTTTTGACAGGTTTGTTCAACAAAAGTTAGGGGGTCCATCTGTGTCTGAATATGAAAAGGTACAGGCTGAATTATCAGAGTTGCAGAAAAAGTATAACACACTTTTGGCAGCACACCAAGAAACCTGCAGTGAGGTACTTTTCTAGATTTTGAATCCACCTGTACTTTAATCTAAGCATTGGCTAAGAGGCGTCATTAAGTTTCAGACACCATATTGCCTATAGGGTGATAAACTGTGTTAATAATTTCATCAAATGCAGATGGACAGAGTTGTGAACTTAAGTATTAACATGTGTAGGCAAGAAATAAGTATGACCCCTTCAGTATGCCTTACAATTACATAGTTAATTAGGGAGAGATGGACAGAAATCATAGAAATTTACAACTTAAGTTACGTTACATACTCATAGTGCAAACGACCTACTGACTCACCAATGCTTAGATTAAGGAGATGAACTCACTCAAGCGCAATATACAAATAAAGTTAAAGTATTTGAAAATGTAATAGCTGTGTAAAATTTGAATTGGAATAACAGAAAATATGAGTGGTTTGTCTCTTCAAAGTTGATTATAGATGGATTGCAGCACTGATGTGCATGTATCCATCTTGACCCCTCATTGTTTGCAATACACCTCCATATTTTCCAATGTAATTGGCAATATATTAATCTGAACTACTGTAATTCTTTTGGATTGTGGTCGGTTGAGTAATAAAAGATATCTGCTACACCAACTCATTAGATGACTATTAATATGTGGGTTCGTCTATAGCTTTAGTAAACTAAGGCGTTCCCTGTGGCGGAATATTTGAGATATGTATGGTTGCATTTGCTTCTGATGTTCATTTGAACTGTGTATGCCCATTACTCCCACTTTGTTATATAAGCCACCTAATTATGCGCTGTATTGCAGCTAGAGGGACTTAAGAGCTCACAAGTACCTAATGTGGCACCACTTTCTATCAAAGACAAGGAGACCACTGATGAGGAGGCCCTAAAGGAAAAGTTCTAAAAGAGCGGTGGAGGACTTTGTAAATTGCTAAGCTAAGCGAAACCTTTATTTCTTGTAAATATATCAAACAAAAGAGTGGAGCCATGGTTCCCTGGCTGTTGTATCCACAGTACACGCCAGAACTTCATATTGTGGGTGTGCATGTCAACATGTGTTTGTGTGATCACTTTAATCGTTGTATGCTTTAGGTGAGAAGAGGCTGTGGTTTTGTTTAACTGATTGCAGTGAGATATCTACTAATTTTAAGGTCCTCGGGTATTCTTCTGTCTTTAAACTCTGGTTGTTCAGCAAGATATTGTGATACTTGTGAAGATATATTTATTTCAATTCTTCCTGAGTTTGTTTCTTGCCCTATGTTGCAAAAGTTATCAACAAAATTTTGAGAGAAAGTAAAACAGAAGTCCAATAACACAAACTTGAGATCAGCTTATGAAGATAATGACTAGAACATGTGCAGTGGGAGGCCAAAGAGAACACCCTAAAATGTTACAACAATCGGTGGCAAAAGAGAACATTTGCCAATGACATTCCTAACTACTAATATTTTCAATTTGATTGATAATCCAATAGTTCGTGGCTACGTCCTCTGCTTTTCTGGAAGAAACTTGGTAGCATCTGCTACCAGAAAACAGCAAGCAGAGTAACCAAGACAATGACCGAGCAAATTAAAGCCTGCACCAATATGATTTTCAGCACAAGGAAAAACAAAATCTCATTACAATTAAAATGAAAGGCAAAAGCTTTTTTTGGTGTCATTCTTACTGCAATTGCTGATGCTGCAAGGCCAGGTCGCTCTCTGGGGCCTTTAAGATAATTTCCAAAATAAAGCACAGTAGCATAATACCATAGTGGTGGAAAAGCAAATCCCAAGAGAAACCTATTTATAAGAAGCATTCAAACTCAAAAACATCAATTTCTTCTGTCCTTAAATTGGGAGGAAAAAGTAAGCATCTTGGAATTATAGAACTCACGAGAACCATCCAATGCCACAACCAAAGCATGCAAGAGGCTTATCATATGTCCCATCTACCAAAGACAAGTCTCTTCCCTCAATTTGCAGTTGCACAATTTCTTTGTCATCAGAATCTCCACCTATAACAACCCTATTTAGTATTTAGTATTTACACACCACAGACAAGAATTTTTTTTATAAAAAAACCTGACCATATTGCTCCTTCACTGTGATCTCAGTGTCGTTTTTCTTGTTTGGAAATGGTGCTTCTGTCATCCCTGTGCTGCTCTCATGCATGATCAACTCCACCAAATTTTTAATAAGAACATTCCTGTGAGTAAATGCACAAAAGTTTGAAATTTCGAAGAAAGTCCATGCTTTTATGTATGATTTCTTGTGTTCACAAACTGCAAGAGAGAAAAGGCCTCGAAGTTGTATTGTATCCAAAAAGCAAAGGTCTCGAACCAGGGAGAAAGAGGAAAAAGGTATCACTTTTTGTTTCCTGTTTAAATAAAACGGTTCCCTCTTTTCAACCGAAACAACTGCCACTTTGTTTTTGAATTTTATTAAACAAGTCTATCACTTCATGAGTTATTAAATTATACAATCTGTAATATTCTTCTAGACAATTGTTTAGACATATAAAAGCAACAATTTAATTTCTTTTTCATATATTTGTGATGTGAACCATAATTCATATTATTGTTCTTCTGCTGAACAAACCAAAAGAAAATGGTTAATTCTACTTACTTTGGACATAGCCCCACTAACAGGTATGCATTATCTTTAACAGCAATTGAACACCAAAACAAATACAATTACTTAAGTAATTAGCCTCACATAAAATGAAAGAACTAATTTTTAATTTAATTTCCGTTTAGTCGATTTTTAAAAGATTTTAAAGATTAGAAATTGCTGAGTTTGAATTTATTACAGATGAGTATAGAATCAGATAGATATTATATTATTCAAATGAAAACCTAATTAAAAAAGAAAACCGTAATAAAGAAATATGCAGTAGAGACTCGAGTCAAAATGTCAAATCAAACCTAAACCTAATCCAACGGCCAAAATCACACCACACATACACAAACGCATACCAAGAAAACCAACCAAAAATAAAATAAAAAAGAGTAAAATAAAAAAATTAATTTTGTTATTCGACACAGACGCACGCTCTCTCTCTCTAAAACTCAAAATGGAACCTAATGAAAACCAACTGAGCTCCTACTTCCAACACCCCACCACCACCACCGGCACCGGCACCGTCGCAACTGTCACAGCCACAAACACTGCATCACCGACCAATGGGCTTTTGCCAAATACCCACTCCACTGATGGGTCCCACATGGTGTACTCTCACTCGGTGCCCTCCTCAGCGGTGACCTCGCCACTTGAGCCCGCGAAAAGGAAGCGAGGAAGGCCCAGAAAGTATGGCACGCCGGAACAGGCTTTGGCAGCCAAGAAGGCGGCGACGACGTCATCTCACTCCTCATCCTCTAAGGAGAAAAAGGACCACCATGGCTCTGCCTCGCCTTCTTATTCTGGGTCTACCAAGAAATCTCAGCAGTTTTCTCTTGGTGGGTTGCAAATAGCCTTTTGGATTTTTTATGGTTTGGTTGCGAAATTTGTTGTCTTTATTGCAATTTGCTTCAATTTCTATATGTGTTTCAAACTTTTGGTTGCATTGTCTTGGAAAGATTCACACTTGGTTGTTCTGGGTGGGTATTCTGGAAATACCCTATTTGTGTTTGTTTGGGAAATTTTTGTTTCTAGGAGGGTTCTTTTGCAAACTGCTCCAGTTTTATGTAGGCTTTTTAATATCCATTGTTTCTTAGTGCTTGCCCTCTTTGTTATTAGTTCTTTTTGGTTTTATTTTTTCATGGTTTATTGTGAATTCGTTGTAGTTTAGAGGGTTTTGTTGCAGTGCCTGAGTTTATACATGTTTTTTATTGCATTGTTTATATGCCTATTTAGTGTCTTCACTCTCCGTGTTCTATCCAGTTTCTGTTATGTTGGTCTATCATAATTCAACTTAACTATTTCCGAATGATGGGCATAGTTGAAACGTTAATTTTGAAATAGAATAGTATGACCTCCATTTTTTCAAATGAGAAGCTTTTGGGGAAATACAAACAGAACATAATATAATTGGTAATTTTTATTCACATGAACCAAATTTCTCTCCAGATCACACACCTTATGGAGCGGAAATTTTGGTTGGCTTGAGAGAAAGATATTGATAAGAAACTCGTACAAGCTCCTGTCTGGATAAAAGATTTTCTGCCCCTCCCAAATGAAAACTTGTGTGAGGCATATGTCAATATTATAGTCCAAAGTGGCATATTTTAGCAACCAGGAACAATCACGATGCATGAAAAAGTAATTTCAATGGTTTAATGGAAGTATGAAACTGGGTTGCTCGTTGAATTTCTATCAGTAGATGACACAAGGTTTTTGTGGTTTGCAAGACTTTTTTGTTTTGTTCTTTAGAATTCTACTTCTCACACTTACTGTTAGATTTTATATTGAGAATGGAGATAATAACTAGACATTTAGTTCACAGTGGTTAGTTGATCTAAAACCTATTTGCATTTAAGAATGTTGTATATTACTTGCCGAATATGAATTTTTTCTTCCCACTTCTGAAGGTCCTTTCTGTCCCAGTATTTATTTATAACCTCTATTATTCTGTCATGTCATGTAAATTAGGAAAAGAAAAAAAAGGCTTGGTTAAAGCTTAGGTGACCAGCTAACCTACCCTATTTTCCTTGTATAATGTTTTCATTAGCTCATAAGAAGTATATATGTTTTATTGAATGCTGTTTAAATGTCTTTTTCTTGTTTGACAATGTTGGTATAAATAATTATAATTTAACACCCTCATGTTGTGCTTTTCCTCTTAATTGGTTGATGTAGGCAATGCAGGGCAAGGTTTTACACCACATGTTTTAACTGTAGCTGCTGGGGAGGTATGCATGTCCTAATTAATTCTCAAAGCAGTAGTGTAGTTAGTTTAGGAATACCGCGACAGTTTAATTCATGATTTTCCTTTCAAACTCACCCTTTTCTTCCATAAATTGCAGATACTGGATTGTAGCTCTTTCGTTTCTGATTGCATGAAATACTTTTTTTTCTTTCCATTTCACATCTGTGTTTCAATTGTGTCACATGCCGATCTTGGATACAGAATAATTCCTTGAATTTGTTTATGGTTTTTTGTTGGTGCAGTTACTATTGTATTTTTTAAAAATCGACAATTGCCTGATCGTACCTTGTTTATGTGCCGTCTTTATTATAGAGTGTTTCCTTTGTTATTTTTTCTTTATTTATTATCTGCTCACACAGTTTAGTGACACGTCTAACAGGATGTGGGCCAGAAAATTATGTTTTTTATGCAACAGAGTAAGCGTGAAATATGCATTCTGTCTGCTTCTGGTACAATCTCAAATGCTTCTCTCCGCCAGCCAGCTACTTCAGGAGGCAACATTACATATGAGGTAAATTTTTGGTCTTCAACCTTTTCCAAGTGGGATAGTTTAGTCTTTTGACCCATTCATATGGGAACAGCGGTGATGCACTTCGTAATGAAAAAATAAAAAGTAAATATCAGAAACAGCAGTTATCTTGCAACAAATTGTATTTGAAGTCAAATTTGGAGTATCAGATTTAGTGTTTTGTTCAAGGTATGTGTATACTAGGTCACTGCTTTGCATTAGTGAGTCTCCAGATGGTATTAGATTCTTAGTGGGCAACTGTGCTCACTATTGGAAACTAACAGGTTAATTTATCTGTGTGCTCTCTTAAGGAGCCTAAATGTACAAGTTCAGATTAATTTTTTGTTAGGTCTTCATTTAGTTAATTTGAGATACGGCAAAGCTGCTGTTCTAAAATCTGAAAATAACAATTATCACTTGAAAATAACAGTTCTGGTTTGAAAGCCATATTGGCATGCAAATTCTACCAAGGAATACACCATATGATTGGTGAAAAATTACACCGTCCATAGCAATTTGGGTGGCTGAAGTTTGATTTTATTAGCATCCAATTTATTCAGGTAGGATTCATTGCTACAATTATAATTAGGCAAGGTGTCTTTCCTCTTTGTGTGGGTGTGTAGTTAGGGAGGAAAAAAGGGAGGAAATGACAATGAATTTTAAGATTCTTTCTTTTGCTTTCTGTTTTGGCTGCTAAAGGACATTAGTGGTTTATTTGGAAATAATAATGAAAATATTAGTTTTAGAATTGTGCATATGCTTTTTCTATCCAGAAATTTTGTGGAATTGTGAAACAAAAATTATGTAAATAAATTGTTTTGAAATGTGCCTGAAAAAGCATTTCATTAGTTGCTCAAAAGATTCTACTTATGTTTGGTTAAGTCCTTTATACTGCCAGTTAACTTGACAGATTGAAGTGGGACTTCTTGATCATCTGCCTCATGTTTAGTCCATCAAAGTATAATGATTTCTTTCTGATTGTAGGGTCGTTTTGAGATTATTTCACTGTCTGGGTCTTACGTACGTACTGACCTTGGAGGGAGGGCTGGTGGGCTCAGTGTGTGCCTATCTAGTACAGATGGGCAAATCATCGGCGGTGGAGTTGGTGGGCCCCTGAAGGCTGCAGGCCCTGTGCAGGTACTATTTTAGAAAAAGTGATTTTTTGTTGATCAGATATCCATAATATGTTGTTAGTGCACAACTGTGGCAGAAGATACTAGCTACTGCTGTCTCTGCCTTGAAGCATATAGTTGCTAACCATATAGTTGACTTGGTGCTTTGGATGTCATCTGATGCCTCAAATTGATTTTTTCCATGTTATTAGGCACTGGGACATTTCTGTAACATTTTCTTCTTAATTGCAGTCTCTGCTCGTTTCAGTTGGCATGTTTGATAAATGCTTCTGCTGTATTTCTGAATCACTTGCTATTTGCACCTACAGGTTATTGTTGGAACATTTATGGTTGATGCCAAGAAGGATGTCACTCCTGGCGTAAAGGGTGATGCTTCTGCGACCAAGTTGCCAACAGCTGGGGAAATGATGAACGTAAGCTTCCGCTCGGCAGTTGACCCTTCTGGAAGAACTCTCGTCCGGGGAAATGATGATCAGCAAGCTATTGGAGGAAGTCATTTTATGATTCAGGGCATGCATGTCGCACCTTCACGGCCCACAGATTGGAGGGGCGGTCCGGATGCTAGAGGCACTGGTGCTTATGAATTGACAGGTATAATCCCCTCTCACCACACGTTCACAATTATAAAAGATTCTATAGATAGACA